TTCCAAAAGAAAATTATCAGTATTTAAGAAGAAATACCTTCTTCAAAGACACAATCCATTCTCCTGATAGAAAATGTGTGTCCTCTGCTTTTGCTAGCCTGGAGCTTCAGACGCAGATGCTGACAGGCACGAATGGAAATGTCTGGATGTTGTCATCCCTGTCACCTTTCATGGAGACACAGAACAGCCTGAGCCTTGGGCTGTCCCCTGTAGAGCAAAGGCCACCCCAGACACCATTATTCTTTGGGAAGGAAGCGGCAACTCCGGCCAATTCGTGTGTTTTGGAGAGTATCAGGACGGTCTTTTTTGTACAGTTACTGATGCAGTTTGAGAATAGGCTAAACTGTAAGGGTGGAGCCCTATGGCCCTGACATTTGAAAAGCTTGAAGAAGGAAATGAAACCCAGTTTCTGTCAGCCCCAAGTCTACCAAAGCCACCCACCCTCAGAATTTGCTAGTAGCATTTAATTTTCTTCCAAATCACCTCCCATCTATGGGGTGTGATGGATGCCAGGGAAAGAATTTATGAGCTAAATAAACATGCAGAGAAGAAAAGGATTATGACATTTTTCAAAGGACCCACCATGGTTTGGCTAAAATGACAGGTATTAGAGGAGGCCAAGCCAAAGGAGGCACGTTGGCATGTGCGACATGGTTTCCGGATCCATCCTATGCCTGTTCTCTGGTACACACAGGCTTCCGTCCAACGCTAGTCTCATCCATCTGAAATCCAGATGCAGGGTATGTGGGGTCTTATTTATTTGCAAGTGGGCTCCAGATGCTGTGTACTAGCATCCCTGGTATCCAGTGGTTAGGATTTGGGTGCTCTTTCCAGATTCGGGGTACTTGGAAGTTGTAATTGTTTTGCAAGGTTGGGAAGTGATTTGCTGAAGCTCTTGGTTCAGGGGTAGCTCTTGTCTTACTGGCCCCCAGTTACATTCTCCACAAATGAGTATCGAGATGGGATGCTTATCTCCTTCCTTTATTTCTCTAGCCCCCAAGGTTCCATTTCCTCCTTGAAACCTCTGACTCAGTGGCTAGAGGAATGTCACCTGGCCCGGTCCTGTCCTGTCCCGTCTGTACTCAGAACTCTTGTGACCCCCGCCCCCACTCACCACCTTGCTCAGCCCATTGCTTTACATGGTGGGTGGGCTGTCTGGTGATTTGACATATGTGGGTCAGCTGTTGTTTAGGTAAGATCCAGGTCTGACTCTGGAGGTGCAATTGGCTTTTGATTACTCCCAGAAAGCAGATGGTGCAACACATTCACAAGAACATTTAATACTATGGGATGTTTTTATGGTAATGCTTGACTTCTCTATGGCATGTGATGTTGATCGTGACTTAGCCTCTCAGGATTGTGGACCATGGGGATCGTGTTGTTAGGACTTTAAAACATGATCATTTCATCTGAATTCTGCACATCCGTTGCATTTGATCTCTTTCTGAATAATTTTTATTGTTTTTTTAATTACTTAAGTAATATACATAGACTACAGGGATTTGGAAAGCAGAAAGATCCTTTTTACTATAGAATAAAAGTATATACTTTAATATTTTCATTTATATAGATTTCTTTCTTTATTTAAAGATGTATTGTGACCCTGTGTGTATGCACACATGTGTGTGCAAGTGTTCCTGAAGGCCAGAGGGGTAGTGATTCCTTTGGAGCTGGAGTTAGAGGTGTTTATGAGCCACCTGGTGTCGGTGCTGGAATCTGAACTCTGGTCCTCTATTAGAATGGTTAGCATTCTTAACTGCTGAGCCCCCTCTTCTGCCCTAGATTTATTGTCTTTCTTGCGGGGGGGGGG